GCGTCGCCCACGATCGTCGCCGCGGCCCGGAGGCGCCGGAGCGCCGCGGCCGTCGACGCGTCGGCGAGCGCCTCGGCCGCCAGCCGCCGGAGGCCGCCCGGCGGCGCGCGGTCGTCCGCGCGCGCCGCGGCCGGGCCCGCCGTCCCCCGCGCCTCGGCCACCTTGTCCAGGTGCGCCCGGAGCTCCGCGTCGACGGCCGCGACGGGCGACAGGGGCGGCGGCGCGTCCTTGCGCCGCAGCAGGCCGTCGATCTGCGCCAGCGTCCTCCGGAGCTTCTTCGGCGCGCACGAGCGGATCGCCGCGTAGCGCGGGTCCCCGGGGAGGAAGGGCCGCCAGTCCGCGTGGGCGAGGCAGCGCAGCAGCGGCGGCGGCACGGGGTAGAGCGCTTTGGTCGGCTCCCCGAGGAGCACGTCGTTCGACAGGCAGAGCGCGTCCTCGAGGAGGAACGCCTCGGCGAGCGCGCCGAGCGCGACGTCGCCGGCCATGCCCGCGGCGGGGCCGGCCCCGAACTCGAACTCCTCGCCGGCGTAGCGCTCGCCGAGGGCGAGGAGCGCGTGGCACGTCGCGCAGCGCGAGGCCCAGGGCAGGTCGTAGTCGGGGCCGGCCGCGCGGAGCACCGCGAGCGCCTGCACGCGCTCGCCCGCGGCGACGGGCGCGTAGTCCGCCTCGGCCATGGACTTCTTCTTCTTCTTCTTGTCCATGGCGGCCTTGATCGCCGCGGCCTCGCGCCCGGCGTCATTGGACCGCGCCGTCGCCGCCGCGAGGTCCTCGGCGGCGGCGGCGGCGCTCTGCGACGCCCACGCCTCGAAGACCTCGTAGGCATCCTCCCGGAGGGCATTTTTGAGCTTCGGCGCGGCCCTGCCCCTCGGGGCGACCTGCTCCAGGGCCTCCTGGGGCGTCATCGGACCTCCGGGGCGGTCCAGGCCGCGGCGCGCAAGCCCAAGTCCCGGGCGACAGACACACTCGGGGCAGCCACTGTAAGTTCGGCTCGGTGCAGTCGCAGTGCACTGACGAGAATTATGGTGTTACTGCGAGCAGCGGTGTGCCACTTGGTGCTGTGGCGCATCCAGGGCTTTGCCGTGCCGCGCCGCCGCAGCCATGCAGCAGCGCCGTCTCAGGCCCGCAACAGCCATGCAACGGCGAGGCATCGCAGGGGCCGCAGCAGCCGAGCGATGCAGCCGCTGCAGGGCACGGCGGCGGACCTCGAGGACGAGGAGGACCGGCGGGAGATTTTGCGCATCGCGACGCCGGCGCTGCTCGGCACGCTCCTCGACCCGTTCCTCAGCGTCGTCGACACGGCCTGGGTGTCGCGGCTCGGCACGACGTCGCTCGGCGCCGTCGCCGCGAGCAGCGAGCTCTTCACGCTGACCATCGCCGTGAGCCTCGCGCTCCGCGAGTCCGCGTCGTCGACGATCGCGCGCTCCCTCGCCGGGGGCCGCCGCGACGACGCGGTCGCCTACGGCGCGCGCACGCTGCAGCTCGCCGTCGCCGGCGGCGTCGCGCTCGGCTTCGTCATCGGCGGGCCGTCCGCGCCCTGGTGCGTGGGCCTCATGGGCTGCCCGGTCGGGTCGCCGCTCCACGCCGACGCGCTCGCGTACGTGCGCGCGCGGAGCCTCTTCCTGCCCTGCTCGCTCGTTTTATTCGCGGGCGAGGGCATCTGCCGCGGCGCCGGCGACACGAAGCCGCCGCTCCGCGCCGCGGCCCTGGCGGGCGCGCTGAACGCGGTCCTGGACCCGCTCCTCATGTTCGGCGTCGCCGGGCTGCCCGCGTTCGGCGTCGCGGGCGCGGCCGCGGCGACGGGCCTCTCGCAGCTCGCCGCGTCGGCGTCGCTGCTGCGCGAGCTCGCGCGGAAGCGGTCGGCCGAGGGCCCCGCGCGCGCCGCGCCGCGCGCGCCGCGGAAGACGGACGAGGAGCGCGCGGCGGCGCGCAAGCTGCTGACGACGTCGCTCGCGACGCTGACGCGGTCGACGGCGCAGCTCGGCTGCTGGGTCTTCATCGCGTCCGAGGTGTCGCGGCGCCTCGGCCCCGCGGCCATCGCGGCGCACGGCGTCGTGCTGAAGGTCTGGCTGCTCTTCGTCCTCGCCGCCGAGGCCCCGGCGGTCGCGGGGCAGGTGCTCTGCGCGCGCCACGTGTCCACGGGCCAGCTGCCGCGCGCGCGCCGCGTGCTGCGCGACCTCGCGCGCAAGACGGCGGCGGCCGGCGCCGCGACGGCCGCGGCGCTCGTCGTCGCCGCCGGGCCCGCGGCGCGGGGCTTCTTCCCCGCGGACCCCGCGGCGGCGGCCGGCGCGGAGCGGCTCTTCCGCTGGGCGGCCGTCTGCGTCCCTCTCGTGTGGCCCAACGCACTCTTCGAGGCCGTGCTCCTCGGAGCGGGCAGGTCGTACAAGTTCCTCGCGCTGGCGACGGTGACGAACTGCCTCGTCGTCTCCGCGACGGCGCGCTTCCTCATCGGCGCGCGGCCGATGCC